TGGAATACAATCTGGAATGCAAACAGTGAGGACGCACCGCCCATGAAATGTTAAATGGCCGAGTAGCTGGATATTGTTTTGGAAGTCAACATTTCACAGACTGGGTAGTTCATTCCAATCCAATTCGTTTAAGCCAGATAGAGCGACTTTTTAGAGTTGCCGAAAACAAAAAAATGACAAACCCTATAACGGCGGGGCTGCCCATGGCCACTCTCCTTTTTCAGAGTTTTTATTTTGTTTAAAGAAAAGGTCAAACAAACGCTGTGCCAACAGTCACAATACAGGACAAAAGTACATCACCGCGTCACGTGATCTAACTCACGCTACAGGACCAACTCACGTCACCAGGTCACGTGATCTGGCTCACGCTACAAGACAAAGTTACATCACCAGGGCACATGCTCTAACTCACGTTACAGGTCACATGCTCTAACTCACGTTACAGGTCACGTGATGTAACATAACTTATTATTTTTAAAACAATTAGCAGCATGTGTTTGTGGTAAAGGTAAAAAAAAGTGTGTTGGGGGAGGGGGGGGGGGTTCCGGCCGTAATTTAAGTTAGGCTAAGAAGTTGGGGATTTATCCGTTCACCAGGGGGTGGGGGTTGAAAGGGTGGGAATTTAGATTTTTTTTTGTTAACATTTATCTTTCAAAGTCTCCTGCAGCCATATTTTAATGTTATTCCATTATTTCAGTGATAATATATTTAATTTTAAACGAAAACTGAATTACACTACTAATAATAAGACACAGCCTGCAGGGGCGTGTTCCACTGAAACGTTTAGAGCTGGCACCTTTTCTTTTCTTTTTTTCTGAAAACCATTTTTACCCTATTTCAATTTTCGATGGTTCCACCACTGCTCCCATGAATCGATTTTTTTTTTTCGTTCTTTGCTCCAGTTGATGAGACAATATTATCCGTAGTGTTTCCAGGGAAGGTTGGATGTACAACGGTGAACTCACTATTTTGCTGCATTTTTTTTAATCGGTTTTCCCCGAAAAAAAAAAGACATGGTCATAAATTGATGTTACCCCCAAAATCCCAGAAGGGCTTATTTTCAAGGGATGTCATATTTCCCTCCATTACACACATCAATATCTATTCATGTAAAAAAGTATGTTTTTTTTTTAAATTTATGCACAAAAAAAAATAAATTTTATTGAAATTTAGACACGTGACCTAATTCTGGAACATTGGCAGAAATATCAAAAACCAAAATTCCTGCTTAAATTTCTCGTGAAATCATTTCCGGTGGAATCATTGGCCACAATGCTGCAGCTAAACCATGCAAGGCTGCTCGGACCCCTATGCTGCAGCTAAACCATGCAAGGTTGCTCGGGCCCCTATGCTGCAGCTAAACCATGCAAGGCGGCTCGGGCCCCTAGGCGGCAGCTAAACCATGCAAGGCTGCTCGGGCCCCTATGCTTCAGCTAAACCATGCAAGGCTGCTCGGGCCCCTATGCTGCAGCTAAACCATGCAAGGCTGCTCGGTTGCACAAAAAAGTTGACGATACGGACTATTTTCGGAGTAGGTGCTTACGCTCCCACCCCCCCTGTAAGATGAGTCCCCTTATTACCCCTTGTTACCCCTTATTACCCAAGATGAGCACGCCAGGGTATATTTTCGGTGCATGTCCAATTTTCCGGCAAACAGGTCACATGGTTTTATCTGGAATTGAAGTGAAACATGAGACTCGGCGGGGAAACAGTTTATACCAACCCAGTGCCATTGGCTTTAGTATTGGTAGGACGAACTCTGTTCTAAATAATACCGATCCATCGTTGCATTGTAATGGATTTAGAGGCGCGGTTTCTGGACTGTTTCAAAGCAACAGTTTTAGCAGCAGCAATTAGCTCCCAAACCCACCCTACTGTTGATCTAGAACAGCGTTCCCCAAACGGTGGTCCGTGGACCGGCACCGGTCCGCGAGCCTTACGTTACCGGTCCAGAGAGCATGAATATTGATGTTTAAATAGAAAGAAAATGTAATTAATAAATCTGGCACCGGTCCCTCGTGCAGTTTTGAAACTTGTCCACAGGTCCGTGAAACTTAAAAGTTTGGGAAACGCTGATCTAGAACATCCCAATGTGCACGCATGAACTATTGTTCTTGTACAGTGGAACCCCGCTGTAACGCGATGGTCGGGGTCCATAAAATCGGATCGCGTTAAAGCGGGGTTGCGTTAATGCGCGATTTTACAATATTTGACTTTTTCCCCGTGTGTACATGTACAATGATCAAAAGTCGGCTTATCATCAGATGAAGAGAACATACACGTGTGTACATGTACAATGATCAAAAGTCGGCTTATCATCAGATGAAGAGAACATACACGTGTGTACATGTACAATGTTCAAAAGTCGGCTTATCATCAGATGAAGAGAACATACACGTGTGTACATGTACAATGTTCAAAAGTCGGCTTATCATCAGATGAAGAGAACATATCCGTGTGTACATGTACAATGATCAAAAGTCGGCTTATCATCAGATGAATATTAAATGGATTAATGCATTACTTAAGATATATTCAAAATAATCGATGGCTAACATAGTTATAGGCTATTACTGTGCAGTAAATGAATTTCAAATTTCGTGAGCCATGCTACGACCGCGTTATATCCGAATTCACGTTATGGCGCGGCGCGTTGTAGCGGGGTTCCACTGTATCTAGTTTAGAAATACGCTTCACGAGCCAACAATGAGATGACGTCAGAGCCCCCATGGCGTTTAGAAGGACCGAGGGAAGCTGAATACAATACTTACTATAATATAATATATAATATAACATTTAACATTTTATTTAACATATGTTTTTACATTCGTAATGACAGGATAATGTGTAAGATTAGATGACAAATATAGCTGGTGTAATGAGAGTGAAATCAGTTGACAAATATAGCTGGTGTAATGTGAGTGAAATCAGTTGACAAATATAGCTGGTGTAATGAGAGTGTAATCAGTTGACAAATATAGCTGGTGTAATGAAAGTGCAATCAGTTGACAAGTATAGAGGGTGTAATGAGAGTGTAATCAGTTGACAAGTATAGCTGGTGTAATGAGTTGCAAAACAGGAAAGTTTTGACCATCTGAAAACACATACCCATAAAGCTATGAAGAAGCAACGAAAATAATTGTGTGGCTGGGGGTTGCCACGACACGAGAAACGGTATTTAAGGGTCGCGGCACTAGGAAGGTTAAGAACCACTGTAAGTGGGTCAGCAAGTACGTCCGTAAGTGCGTCAGAAAGTACGTCCGTAAGTGCGTCATTAAGTACGTCCGTAAGTGCGTCAGTAACTACGTCCGTAAGTGCGTCAGTAAATACGTATGGAAATGCGTCCGCCAATGCGTCCGTAAGTGCAGCCTCTGTGCTATTACTCAACAGGCGTGCGAGTACGTCTCACCCTTGTGATGAAATTCCGTTCATGACAAACCTCATCAGAGTAGCGTTCGCGTTATACATTAACAGATTTCCAGGTGGGGTAACCCGCTTGGATTAAAACACAGCTGGATTATGGGGCAGGCAATAAAGAACAACTTGTGAATTATGGAATTAATGAAGTCCATTAAAGAGTGCAGGCCGTAGCTTAACGTGTGCACATCTTTTTTATTACAATGCGGGATGATTTTGTTTCTTTTATTTGAAAACCGTCACGGTATGGATAAAAACGTTGCCAACTTTACACAAATGACGAATTTATAGCGGATGAATCACACTATAAAACAACAACCAAAAAAAAAAAATAAAAAATAAATAAAAAATAAATAAAGTAAAAAAAAAACCTACCTTATATAAAAACGTAAATTTGTCAAAAAGTCGAGTTGTTAATTTAGAGCCAGCCGAAATATTATTTTGACAACTTGAAAGGTTGATATATTGAAATAATTTACTGTACTTATTCAAACCTGTTAAGAATGACTGTGACCTAACGGTGTCAAGAAATGAAAGTATAATTATCAAGCTCTGAAATTGGGAAACATTACACCATGGGCAGATCATAAAAACAAATTAACATTAAAATTGACAAAATGCCACCTCCCCCCCCCCCCCGGAAGGTTTTTTTTTAAAGGGCAACATTTTTTCCCTTCCGGTGACAGTAGTTGAAAAATATAATTAAAAAGTTATAAAATTGGGAAACATTACACCATGGGCAGATCATAAAAACAAATTAACATTAAAAATGACAAAATGCCACCTCCCCCCCCCCCCGGAAGGTTTTGTTTTGAAGTGCAACATTTTTTCACTTCCGGTGACAGTAGTTGACCATAAACGAAGGGCAAGACTTAAACTTTGTTTTGTGATGTTTGGTTTATATCCGAAACAAATCGAATCTTAAAACATCGAAGATTAAATCTCAAAATATGCGTTTGCTAATCTGAAGCTACCTTCAGTGGAACTCATGCTTACACAATGTAATTAGAAGAGCCTGCGAGGTTTGAGCAATGTCGTGATCTGTGATCTGTTTACTCAACCGTTTGAGCCATTGCTTGATCTGTTTATTGAACAGACAGTGGCGAAAACAAATGTCCCAAGCATGACGAACTGGAATCAAATGGATTTAGAACTCTGTATAGACCATCACTGCTTCATTCTTAAGCATGTGGGAAACGTTTGTTCTGCACAGACAAAGTTTGGGACAGAGGCAGAAAAAAAAACCGCATCATGAGGATGTCATTTCATCGAGTATAGATTCAAAAGTATTCAGGTATACAAAGTCTCTATACAATTTTAAAACAAAAATGGATGGAATGGAAAAACAGATGAATCATGAATAATTCTCAAACGAATTCGGATTGTCTTCAAACGATTTTTACGGAAATTTAAATAATCTAGTAAGCAAGAGAAAGACTCAAAAAAATACAATGGGGGTGGATGGTGACAGTCGACAAGTAAGCTGTTTGAGATCTAAGAAGCTCTGCTCAAGTCATTTATATTTTGTGAAGACAAAGTCGGCGGACGAAATCAATGTGACAACAAAAAAAGTATGTTAGTACTCACCCAAGAGTTGTCATGGTGACGATCGTGTACCAAAACGCGGCTGGGATGCTCGTGAACGTCGTCCCCTCCACGCTCCGCTCGGCGTAAAACATGATGGTCGCAAATATGATGATAGCCATTGTCAACGAGAAGAGTAGGAAGCCCAGTTCGCTGGCGCACGACTTGAGCGTGTAGCCGAGGATCCTGAGTCCTTGCGAGTGGCGCGAGAACTTGAAGATGCGGAACACGCGGAAGACCCTCAGCGTGACGAAGGCGCCACTGACGTCATCGTTATCGGAAATGACGAGGCCGATGTAGTACGGGATGATGGCGACGACGTCGATGATGCTCATGACGCTCCGCATGAACTTGCACCGGTCCGGGGCGGCGTACAGCCGGAGGAGGTACTCTGCTGTGAAGATCATGACGCAAGCCGTGTCCAGGCAGAAGAACGCTATCTCGAACTTCTCCCCGCACGACAACTCCTTCCTCGCCCCCGGCACCTTCCCGCACGGCACCGTCTCGATGACGTTGGCGATGACCGAGACGGCGATGAAGAACCCAGTGACGTAGTAGAAGACGAGGGCCACGGTCCCGATGTGGGGGTTCTCGAACGCCCGCCACATCTTCTCCCTCAGGCTGATCGCCGGGTCGTAGTCCCCGTTCTCGCTCTTCTCGTCGTCGATGAGTCGTTCGCTGTTCTCGCGCTTCCGGTCCCGGTAATCTTCGTAGCAGCAGTCCCCGATGATATCCGGAAGTATGCCGAAGAAGGCCAGCTCCTCGTCGTAGGAGCTGATGCACTCGTGCTTGGGGTAATGGAGGCGGCTGGTGCGGTAGTAATTGAGGATGTGCCGGAAGATGTCGGGATCGCGGTCGAAGAAGTACTCTTTGGACTCCTCGTCGTAGAAGAACTCCCGCTCGTTGGAGCCCAGCAGGGAGTCTGGGAATTTTTCCAGAGTCGTCCGCCAGGTTTCGAACCGCCTCCCGCTCACGTTGATCTTCAGCTTCTCGTCCCCTCGCCGGGTCTCGGGTCGGACAGTGGGGTTGGGGAGGGGGTGCTCTGATATGGGCACCCAGCCGATGGCCGAGGCCCGGGCAAACGGTAACCATGCGGCCACGGAAGCCATCACGCCACCACTGTTGCCTTTGGCGGAGAAGAAATCTGAATCCTCCCGGAAGACAATTTTGAAATTTTTGGTTAGATACCCGACAGGAAAATAATTTAAGGACTATTTTACCGGGACTCTTCGGGACTCTTTGCGGTTTGGACTTGTTATCCAGCACCCACACCGCTACATGTATAGGGCTTTAAGTCTAGGATGGTATAGGTTATTTTCTTATGTATTCCTTTGACGAAATGCGTGACAGAAATTTTTACCTGTGTTACAGCGATCCCTGTATATTTGTAGCACACTTGGAAACTGTGTTGCTTTTCTCTTCTTCAATAAAAAGGTCGCGTGAATGCGATTGGAAAATAATTATATCACACAGATGGAATGCTCGGTTGAAGAACCATAACTCGACACCACACGTAAATGAATCTTTCCAATATAAAGAATCTGACAACACAAAACTAAACCATCAGATTTCTTATCACCGTTGGTACGCAACGATGAACAAGCACATGGCTAACGAGACCTTCTGATTTGAAAATAACTCTCGTTCCTGAGAAATTATCGTGTGTGGCGTTGCTCGCAGTGGTAAAATCGCCGTGGGTCGAGTCAGATCCAGAGATCGCAGAACAACAAGCAATATTTTGAGGGAATCGGAAAGACCCGAGAGATACTCCGCGACCGAGGACAACGAGAGGACGCTTCCCTCATTTTCTGACCTCCCGCAGCTGCCATGCTTTAGTTTGTAGAGGCCCGAAACTTATCACAACATTGTCGACCACGGTCTGACAGCGTTACTCTCGCCAGGGCACTTAAGTCAACTGTAGGTCATGCGAGTGAGTTCAGTCTAGGAAGGCGTGGGCTCAGCAGCGGATCCTATTGTGGCTGAGAGGAGGGGCTCAACGTGCGTGAGCGGTCAGCGTCGGCCTCACGTGTGGACATTGGCATAACTGGGAAACAGGTTTAAGTTTCACTGGGTGGACGTTGGCCGTGGGACCTCTGGACGCCCCCAAGGTCATGTTCATCTGAGGAGTAAAGATAAACATGATGACTGAATGATTATGTGATACAGCTGGAATAATCGGTTGTCGAAACATGACTCCACGCAACATAGATATGAATCTTTCCAATATAAAGACAACACAATCTGAACCATGTGTCCCCCAAACAACGGCCCGTGGACCACATCCGGCCCACCACGGGTCCTTATCCTGGCGTGCCTGGTCGCTGTACGGATACCTTGGTGGCAACTAAAACATATGGCACCTTACATTTACCATCTTTCTGTAAAAAAAAAACCTAGGCCCATTATGCATTATGACATATTAATGAGTTTATGTTGATTAAAACAAGGTATGAGGGACAGTGAAAATGGCCCTCTGTTTAAAATGTTTGAGGACCCCTGATCTCAACGATCAGATTTTGTATCCCCGCACATCTCGACGAACAAGCCCGTGACTACAAATAAAAACTTTCTGATTTGAAATAATCCTCAAAGAGCCTGCAATGTAAACTTTATTATTTGTGTATAAACCGTAAGCGATGTGCCGCGGCACAGTGGTGTGGTGCCAGACGGTGTTAGGTGTGCCACATCGAAAATTCCTCCAAGAGGATGGAAAAGGCGTTGGCATGACATATATTGTTGAAACAAAATGGACAGGACAAGCTGTCCAATATCACTTAAGTGACCCCCCCCACCAATGTGTCTGAAGCGACAAGTAAGATATGCCCTCTTCGCTATAGCCTTTTGACCCCATGCCTGTTCACGGGGGTGCACCATTGATGGCTAATAAAAAGGATTTGTTACATGCGTGACTAGAAAATATGCAACAGTTCAAAATGACACATTGTTGCATTGAACGAGAGGCTTTGATGGTAAAGAATTGATCAGATGAACTATTGCAAACCATGAACTAATGTGTGAACATCATAAAAATAATTATAGCAAAAACCATAAATTCACGATACCTAAAAATTACTATTTCATTGTGGAGAAATGGGTATGATATATTGTTACAATCTATTTAAGAACACATTTTTTTACACCAACATGCGTTGGCCATCCTGAGGTTAGTTCCTTTGCTAAATTCTTGCAGCTCACGTCTTGAGGTTAAGTCTATTTATTTTTTAATCAAACATGCCGGAACAAAACGAGAATGTGAAAGATGATCACAGGTTGGCAAAACTTGCATACATGGCTCCTCCCCTGTTAAAACTTCAATAACTGAATGAACTAAGAAGAAAAAAAAAATCAAGGTCGAAATGAAAATGTACTAAAACTTTCGGATAAATTAAACGGCTTCAAACTGCCATGACCTTTGGGAAACAAAGCTACGTCATGGGTCTTTAAAAGATGTACCAGTCAACGAACTCCACAACTGTCGCAAAGAAACAAAGCGTTTCAGACTTGGCGCAACATCATCTGACATTGCTATATCCACATGTATCATTGCTGAAGAAACATCTAAACTCCCTGCGACATCTAACATTGCCTAAACACCATCTAACATTGCCTAAACACCATCTAACTTTGCTACAACAACACCTAAAATTGTTTCAACACCATCTAACATCGCTGCAACAACATCTGACATTGCTGCAACCACATCCACCATTGTTTCAACACCATCTAACATCGCTGCAACAACATCTGACATTGCTGCAACCGCATCCACCATTGTTTCAACACCATCTCACATCGCTGCAACAACATCTGACATTGCTGCAACCACATCCACCATTGTTTCAACACCATCTAACATCGCTGCAACAACATCTGACATTGCTTCAACCACATCCACCATTGTTTCAACACCATCTAACATCGCTGCAACAACATCTGACATTGCTGCAACCACATCCACCATTGTTTCAACACCATCTAACATCGCTGCAACAACATCTGACATTGCTGCAACCACACCCACCATTGTTTCAACACCATCTGACATCGCTGCAACGACATCTACCGTTGCGTCAACAGCATCTAACATTGCTGTAACAGCATCTCATATTACTGCAACAATATCTAACATTGCTACAGCAATAATGTGACCTATACTTTTATACAATAAACACGATACGGAGAAAATTGGGATCAGAAATCTAATTCCCCTCACACAACAACTTTACAGAAAACATCTCCCTTCGGGTACAAGGGGAATTTATGGCATTGACGAATGAAGAGACGCTCAGAACAAAGTTCTCTGTAGTTGTTCCCTTAGACGTGTTCTGGGGTTTTTCTGAGGGAAGAGGATTCTAGAATTTCTCACGAGGCTATTCTATGTCTGCTACAAATCTCCACCTCTTCCATTGTTAACAAGATGGTTTTATTCTTGTTTTAATATGAAAGTAAAATTAAATATTAATCAGTTGTCATGATGGTCAGCTCCAAATTGCTCTATCGGATATTGAGCCATGAATGAAAGAACTATGTTCAGGTTAACACACTGAGACGCCTCATTAGTCGTCAAATGTCAACATTTTAAATTACTAATACAGCTTTTTTTATATTTCCCGTTCTATTGATAGAGAATTGAGCACACACAAAAAAAAAACAAAACAAAAAAACATTAATTTATGTTACATCACTTGGTATACAGGACAATATTGCTCACGTTAATTTATGTTACATCACTTGGTATACAGGACAATATTGCTCACATTAATTTATGTTACATCACTTGGTATACAGGACAATATTGCTCACATTAATTTATGTTACATCACTTGGTATACAGGACAATATTGCTCACATTAATTTCACTTCCATGAGAAGTAAAATAATAAATATAAATATTTATAAAAACATTTAAAATTTCGGTACATGTAAATAACATTAAATGAGTTCCCCCCCCCCCCCCCCCCAACCCCCCCCCCCCACCATGCTTTCATTTTGGCGTGCCGAGGACATCTTAGCAGTGTCTAGGTGTGAAACCTTGGAAGGATCTAGGTGAGAAATCTTTGAAAGTTCTAGGTGAGAAATCTTGGAAGGGTCTAGGTGGGAGATCTTGGAAGGGTGTAGGTGGGAAATCTTGCAATGGTCAAGGTGTGAAATCTTGGAAAAGTCTAGGTGGGAAATCTTGGAAGGGTTTATGTAGAAAATCTTGGAAGGGTATATGTGGTAACTCTTAGAAAGTTATAGGTGGGACATCTTGGAAGGGTCTAAGTGGAAAATTTTGGAATGGTCTAGTTTGGAAATCTTGGAAGGGTCTAGGTGGGAATTCTTGGAAGGGTCTAGGTGTGCAGTGAGTGAAAATAGATTGCTGAGAACTATGTTATGTAGACGACGTGTTTAAGTCATATTTCCCCGTGCTGTGAACTCTAGCAGGCAACAAGCAAGGCAAAACCGCCTTTAAGGTGTGGTTAGCTAAAAATAGTCTCTCGGCCTTGTTTACTACCAACTAAATAGAGTTCATAGTCAGTATCTACCAGATTTTTGTAGAAAAATCTGGAGTAAACTGGAAAGGAAAACAATGCGTAAGGCGGTTCCAGATGCATCAGTAGATTAGACTATAAAGGGGGACACGTTATATTTTTGAGAGAGAGAGAGAGATCCTTTTTATCACGATATATTTTACTATACGGGACGACAGGCTGGAGTTATTTTTAGAGTGTGTTATTCTTGATAGAGCTGTGTTACTTATATTCCTATTCATCGTTGTATCTTCTTTTGGCACATTGTAATTTTCATCCGCTTTTGTACCGGCTCAATTAACACAATGCTCTTTAAGTTAATGATTTTAATTATAATTCTTTTATTTTGTAAATTATAGAAAACTTAATAACACGTATTAATTGTAGTTAGCACTGCTTTGAGTGTCATATTCGTTTGCTATTGTATTTCCCATATGGTATCGTCTTTTGTTATGCACTGTTTAAGACGAGCCATACACTTAGAATAAGAGATTAATTTCTCCCTAATAAAAAAGCAGAGCGTAACAACTGCTACAACTTTTAATAATTTCGTAAAAATTTAGAGGACAAAAATATCTCATTTTGGGGTGAATCAACCC